CTCATTGTTCGCAAGTGGTTCATGGTAGATGTATTTCATTTCCTTTTGGAAACTGGTCAATTCATTAAGACGTTATTTGAGTAAAACTCCTTAAAAAGCTAATACAGAGGGCTTGACAAAGTATCAGAGAGGCTTCGTGTTGTTAGCTGTGGTTGGCCTAGCCAGAGTTGTAATGAATCAAGTCACAATTTTTGGCGCCTTTAACTCAACTTCTGATGGGTAAATGACTTAACCTCGAACTGAGTCATTCCGAGTAAATGACTCAACTCGAATCTGTTATCAGAAGAGTTAAGGTTTATAAGACTCAAGTCCCAAAAATAAAGCAAACTTCTTTGTGAAATATGTGTAATGACTTACAACCGCTGGTTTATAAATTTGTCGTGTTATCATCAAGAGTTAGATATGGTGTGTCCACACATACATTGCTGTAACCCAAAGGTAAAGAATACCCCCAAATGACTTTCATTTTGATTTATTGCATTGTGCTCAAATATTTGTGACTCAAATTAACTTGAGCTAAATACCTGACTCGTCTCGACTTTATTGACTGATGACTTGAGTCACTGTTGAAATGACTCGACTTGAGTCATAAAAACTAGCGACTTGTTATAACTCTGGGCCTATCAACAAACGAAGTGACTGCCTACATGTACTTCAAGCAAGAAAGATTCTTTTTGCACTGTTGGCTCATGAGTAACATGTATTCCTACACATCAGGTCTTAACTTTGTAAAAAAAAAGGCTGTTACATCAAAAACATATTTCACTTTTTAATGGGTACACATGCAGGAGTGGAGATAAATAATTTTTTTTTAAACCCAAGGACAAAATGCTTCCAGATACAGCTGTTTGAAGCCGAAAATTGTACTTTATGTTGGAAGTACCCTTTGTACTTGCTGACAAAATGATTGGTGCAAAGCTCTCACACTTAGATGTCAGGGGCTTGTTCTGTGGAGACTTGTTTTCCTAAGCATTTTTCATGGCTGCTTTATGGTGCTTTATACACACTGCCATGTTACACCTTGTATTCATCATGTGACCCAAACATTTCGCTATTAGTTTTCTGAACAAGGTTTGGTACAAATGTTTACGATCACATACCAGTTAAAGTTAAAATGTAGTTTTGTCGTGTGTGATGGAAGAGGGTTAATATTACACTTGGTCATATGTCAATGTTAGAAACACGAAATGTTTGCATGTTCTCCAAAGTAATCTGCTTCCTTCGTATGAGATCAACCTGCAGGGTAGCTGTGACGATGTTATGTAAAACTACAGTAATAACCCATTTTCCAAATCTTGGCATGGTTTTCAACAGAGGCATCATTGGTTTCACTTTGCAAAGGTGTCTCGAGTCAGGACTTCAAATGCTTTTAAAGTTGGAGCCCGGAGTCACGTCAAGCAGTCAAGCTTTCAAAAATGCAGAGATCCTGTACTTTCCCATGTCCCATAGTTCGTGTTGTTCATAAGCACTTTTGTGGAATGTTGTGATTATTATAGTTTGTAAAGCATAGAGCTGGGATATTTTGAAGTAACTAAACCAAAGAACTCCAAATTTTAGTGTGTAAATTAAGAATTTAGTATTTACCATTTCCCGTCTTGTATATAATATCAGTAACACAATTTCATTTTTAAAGTGGAATTAAAACAAAAATTTTAAATAGACAAATATATTAATGTTAATGTTTTAACTTTTGGCAGAATTACCTGGAAGTACATAAAATTGGACTCTCATGGATGAACATTTGGACATGTCCCTAGCAGAACACAGGTAAATGCTGTGATTGTGTTCTTAGAAATTGGGACTGAACTGTGCACATGGGCCGTCACAGGTGCTGATTTCAATCCGACTCTAATCTTGAAAGAATATTGAATGAATGTAAGAGAGCTTCAGTATTAGAGAGTTTTTTTCCTAGAAATGTGTTCTGTTCCAAAGTTATTGAAGGTTTTGGTTAGGCTAAAGTGTTGATGAAATTAACTCGTAAGAGCATGCAATTGTCAATGACATCATTTGTCATGCTGGATTAAACAAATTGATAGTTTTTCATTTTTCCCCCAAAGTAGAGCTAGTCAAGAAAAATGTTGAAAATTTTCCTGATCCACTAGTCCTGTTTCTTTACTTTTACGTGCATAAAGTTCATACATTTAACCAAGTGTTTGAATTTGACTTGGGTAAAAGTTCCAAAACTGGAAAGTTTGGTGTTCTGAAGCCAAGATTTGTCATCTCCATTGCAGTCAAGTTTTTGTTGAATGGTGACAGGCTGAAACTTGACAGATGCACTAATACAGCCGTTTCACAATAGTGTGCCACCAAGAGTTTGCCACGCATTGGCCAATCACAATGCGCAAAATTTGTCGACCCAATGCACGTTTGGAAATGGTCAACAAATCTTGCGTTATGATAGTGTTGCAAACTCTTGGTGGCGCACTATTGTGAATCGCCTGTATTGAATTATGTCAGTGTTGTAGATTCATTGAAAGACTTTGAGATGCTTGGTGGCAGTGAACGTACTGGCTCTTTTCAATTTGTGTAAAGTTAGAGCTGTCACGTGGCTTGTGCAAAATGATGCAAATAAAAAACACCCACTTGTACAGACCTGCCAACATGCTGCACTCCTTCCCGAGGTCAGGCATTGTCATGCAATAGATTAAAATTTTAAATGAACTAAAGGCTCAGTTATATACCTTTTAATCTATTGTGTGGTAATGCCTGACCTCAAGGAGTACGTCTAGGTTGGCAGGTGTGTTTGTTCCTCAAGTCTCCCATCGTTAGTATCGGCCAGTCATGTTTCAGTGCATTGCCTGTCCAATGTGTGCCCTACTTGCAACAGTGAGCAAAATCTTTTTATAAGCTTGTGGCAGTAGATCAGTAATGTACGTAATTGTAGCGACTAGTTCAAATGTTGACCACCTGCCAAACTCAGTAGTGTGTGATTTTCGTTCTCTTCTGATATTGCATATTTAGTAATTTCCGTGCTTCTGGGTTGTTTTCAGTAGCTAATTCCACAGCCATTCAGTCACATCCGATTACAGTAGATTAAAGTGTGTCAATACGATGCTCAGTTTATTGTTGTCAATTTTGTTATTCTGTGAATGTTAGATACATTGGTGTAAATGTCAGAAGTCTGCAGCACAGTCTAACGTACCTAAGATGAGAGTAGAGTGTTTTTTGCTGGAATTAAAGGCTGTCATTTAAAAGCGGTGAGACAGTTTTGAGGCCTTCATTACTGTATTTGTGTTCATTTTATAAAGTGTGGTTGGCAACTGTTGACGTTGAAAAATGCTTTTTTAATTCAATCAGCACTTTCTGCATGTAGGCAAGTTACTCATGACTCCCCACATTTTAGACTTGAGAGATTACAGATGCAGCAAAACCAAACTACGACACCTCTGAAATTTGTGTGCCCAACATGAGGGTAAACATCCTAACATCATGTTACATGTATATGCATGATAAAACAAAAATATAAGATTTTCCATCTTGGAGGTAGGGACTCACTGCTTTTGAAATATAAAAATCGTGCCGTGTTTCATAAGACTTGAAATATATCTGGAAAGACAGTGGAGCTTATCTGAGCATACAGGGAGCCAATGGAAGCCTAGCTTGAATGAGATGTTTGCTGTGGCTATCCACACCTTCGTTTTTACAGCAAGTTTGTTTTCTTTTTGTTTGTATGTGCATAAGCATCCTCCATGCTTCAAGCGGAGGCAAGCATTACATGTACCAGTACTGAAGAGGTTCCTTGGACTCTGCGGATTACCTTATTAGAGTAGAAATCGTGTTTTATCAGGAGTGGAGAAAAGAATTTAAAAATAAGCAGAATTTTTTACTAATGGTGTTCTTAGTAACATGCCTTTAAGTTTGCATGCTCTTGATAAGCATCAGTATCTTCAGTTCAACTACACAGCTCCATGAAATAACCAAACCTGTCCGCCCCCCACAAGCTGCTGCCCACTATTCAGCAAGCAGGTGATAACAAGATGCCAAGCTGGTAAGTGATAGGCAGCATGAGTCACAGGGGTATGTCTTTGTAATGAACACAATAAAAGTATGAGAAATTTAAATCACACAAGGCTTGTCAATTTTATTGTCTAACTTAGGTTTTGCCCATCAATTAGCCTAATTGTTAGGATAAAGGATGGAATGCAAGCCCCGTTTCCATCTATGGACATATGAAGCAAGACATGAGACAGAGAGAACCCACACTTTGTGTTGGTCATTGTTTCACTGGAATCTGGAGAATTCTTTTCAGACATCTGGGGGGGGGGATTAGGTAACAATAGCCTAGAGTGTGTATAGCGACTGGACATGTTGGGGGGTACATGTGTATCTATTCTATGGAGTACAAAAATAATGTCATCCACTGCTCTTCCTCGAGTGTGGTACTTGGCAGTTATTCTCTTTAATATTCGCTTAAAGGTCTACAACTTTTCCCCATTTTAAGACATACAAAATGGGCACATGGTGCCCTAACTGTAGAGGCAAAATTCTTCTAAAAAAAAAAAGTACTTTAAAATTTCAGCCACTACTACGACCCCATACTGCCAAGCTTGATTGATTCCAGTCCAAATGCTCAAGTCTTCAGCAGGGAATTTGCGATGAGCACATCAGAGCTGGAGTAACTCACATTAAAATTTGCAAGGGTTCACACTAGCTCTACCGAGTAGAGCGTTAGTATTCCTCTTTTTGTGTCATGACGATTCCGCCCAAAACCAAAAAAGAGCAATACTAACTCTCCACTCAGTAGAAGCCATTTTTTATGACCAAAACTAAAGTTGCGAAAGTTTGTACATGTACTCGTATACTGGATCAGGTAATGAGGATTTAACCATGTATCATTTGCTTATCGAAGCACAAAGCTACGACAAATGATGGTCATCTATCCGTTCATCATGTCATCATTTCCAGTATATGTATGTAGTCTTAACTGGTAAAGGAGCTGTTCATTACCGAGTACATGGGCTCACAGCATCCCGAGATATCATCACTTCGGATTCGGCTACAGGTTCACAGACCTGTGCTGGAGAACCCGATCAAATAAGATCATGTGTAAATGTAGAGCAATAGACGTGCAACACAAAAAGCCTTCACTTCAGAGACCAACGGACAAACCACGAACAGAACACCTACACACACCGGAACACACACGAAAAGTCGCGCTGTGTTCTGCAAAACAACACGAACAGGAAGAAACTCGAACAAGTCACGCAAAATATAGACCAACAAACACTAGCTTTGGGTTTCAGAAACCACAAAACCAAGCAAACGAACGACACTTTACACGTAGACCGAACTTGACCTAACGTTACATGAAGAGTGAATGACCAGCGACGTCGCGACGCGACCGCGTACCGAATTAACAGTAGTACTAATGCCACACGGTATACCATCGGGTACCGGGTACGCCCGCGCAGCGCAAGCGCAATTAAAAGAACGCATGCTAGTAGTTTGCCGCCCTCTCTTGTCGAATTGCCATAACGTATGGGCGGCAACCTCCTCCATTCGAATATGATGCTTTTTTTTTTAACTTTAACATATAGTCATTCCATTTCCAACCCAAAATAACCTAAATTGGCATTTTGGGTTTTAAAAATGATTTTCCCTAACCAAGAACTTTGTCACATCCCACGTTTAACAGGGAAAAAGTGATCTATTTTTAGAACAGTTGCATTTTATAAATGTGACGTCACGATCAAAGACCAACAGACCAGACCTCGCCCAACGCGTCGATCGGGACAGAGATTGTTGCAAGTTTTGACAGGTTTGTATTCATTTTGTTCTTTCAAATCACGGTTTCAGTGTATCAGTTATTTAAATTAACAGCTTAACTGGTCTTCTGTTGCCTTGGTTTTGATGTAGGATTTGTTAAGCCATCTTAAAATCAAGATTTCTTTCGACAGACGTGAAAGATCCATCGACCAGTACGGTTCGTATTCGGTACGCTGGTCTACAGAAAAAGAATTAACACTACAGACTAGACAAAGCTTGCATTCATACTCATAGCATACATGTGCACACGATACCATTCACACATTTAAGATCGTACATGTGCTAATCAATGCAACGGTTGTACATGTACCTGACAACATGGTGACATTCTTCATTTTATGATTTCCAAATTATATCGGCCTTCTTTATAGGCAACTGGATTTCAACATTAGGCCCATCTGGATTATATCTTTTGAACCCCGTAAGTTGTAAGGTCCCAAAAATGTGGATTTCCCTTCATCAAGTTCGTGCAAATTCACAGATCACCGACACTTGATTGCTCTGACATGTCTTAGTTTGCTCTAACATGTCTAAGGTTATTTTGAAAAGCAATAAAGTTAGGCCTTTTTATTTCAGAATCAGAATTAACGTACATGTACTGTAACTTGATACTTTAATCTTGACCTGTTGACATAGTTGGCAGTGTATGTAATAATAAGGGAATAATATGTGCCTCAAGACTAACTCCAACAGTTTTAGAGGTTTTGAAAATAAACTATTATTGTGATTAGTGTGTAATAAATCATATATTCATTACCAAGTCAAATCTGTATTGCATCTGTATTTTTTATAATTTTGCCGAAACTTTGGAATGGTGTCTTCAAGTTTTTTGAATAATTTCCACAATCTGACTGCTGGTGGGACTGTTGAGAAACAAAATTTGTATGATGTGATACCAGAGACAACATTAAAAGTGGTATCCGTGGCATGACTGGTTCTGCTATGAACATATGTGAACATGGAGCTACATGTACATGTACATGTGCATACACTGCTCGATCGATCTGTGTGCTGGGTCTACTGTGCTGCATTATCTCTTCTCTGTTGAGAGTTTGTGCTCCTTTCTATACCCAGCAAGAGATGAGATCGAGGGGTACCCCCCCAACATGTCCAATCCCTATACACATTCTAGACTATTGTTACTTAACACATCCCCCCAAGATGTCTGAAAGGAATTCCCCAGATTCCTGCGAGACAATGACCAACACAAAGCGGGGGGGGGGTTCTCTCCATCTCATACCTTGCTGCATATGCTCCTTTCTTCATGATTTACAATAATGACGAAATCATGCGTCATTGGTGGATGTACTAGAAAACTTTCTGCAAAAGAACCGGTATAGAAATTCTTCAAGTTTCTGAAGAATAAGAGCATTCTTGCTGTCGTCTGCGGCTACATGTATGCCAGCTATGCATGCCTAAAGCACACGCACTGTGGTATTGCCTCTCCACGGTAACACATCACAGAAATCAATATTCATTAGATGCTAATGAGTCGTGACGACACGTCCATTTTTAGACTGGACTAGACTGGACCTGCAGGAAAAATGGGTACAAAAACTGTGTTTTATTAACACAAAAACATGTACATTGTATTACAAGGGAGATACTGATAGGGGCCACTTTTATTAGACTTGGCTTTTCTGAATAAGATTCAATATGAGAAACATCAGCATCGTTAGAATTGGTCTTGAAACATGTTCAAGATTGGCTTAGGAGAATGGACGCGACTAATGCTGCTCGGGCATTATTAACATGAAGTCTCCTGAACTGGTCTTGAAAGTTAGTTTAAGGTTTAAGACTGGCCAAGCACATATTTATTCCCATTCATAAATACCTTTTTAGTCAGAGAGTCAAAAGAAGTCCATATATGATGGGCAATAGGAGCAATTTGGTTCTAGAATTTTACTTTCATTTTCCCAAACACCCCTATCCATTATGTGGAATATTGCTTGTACAATTTGTCCAATTGATGTGCACGTGGCGAGCCACATGCACACGGACTCTTGACCAATTAGAATCCATCAAACTGTCTTGTATCTACAGTTGTAGGTGCCAGCATGTGATTGATGCAGCGGGCATTTTCATTTCTCAGCGGGCAGTATCAAATGTTTATACATGTACATGGTCAAGTTGTACATTGTTGGGTAGGGAGACTGTCTGAGGTATTCATGAATTCTGCAATAGTAGCTATCTGTTTTATCTGATTGTTGCATAAAATACATTTAAAGATGCTTTACAAATTGCTGAATTAATGTAACTGTTATGCATAATTACCCCTAACAGAATGTTAGAGTTACATGTAGGGACACTGTGCTCAATCTCACTTGGAAAGCTAGAGTAAGAGTGAGGAGCCCCATATGTCTTGGGGCTACACATGTATACATAACGCCACATTAATTGACGTTCCCCTGTTGCTGAACATGTTATATTTTGTTCATCATTCATTAAATAAGGAAAATAATCATGGGTCATGAAAGGAAGATGAACGTGGTAAAAGTTTGTGTTGACGATCTGGCAAGATTTTCCTAGACCTGGCAGATCAAACTTCAACAAGAGATGTTTTCTAGAATTTTTAACAATGATCCTGTCATTTTGTTAAGGATGAAATGACATGTTAGTGGAACAAATGGACTTGCAATAAAGTCTACAAAAAGGGGAGTGAGAGTTGTAACCCAAAAATTGGAGCTTTAAAAAGATTTCACAATTTTGGTAGACATTAAGGAAGAATTGCCATCAGGATCACTGTACTGCTGCCCTTTATTTACTTCACGAATAACATTAATTCTTTGTTTGTATTACAGTAAAAGTTGTTTTTACTATGCATCAAAATTGATGTGAACTTAGTGATTTCAAAAACTTTCAATGATGTTCCAATTAATTAAATGGAGAGATTGAAGGAAAACTTGATCATGTATATGCCCTATTGTAATGATTGTACACACAAGCAGTCATTGTAATTGTCATGTTGTCAAGTTTGCAGTCAAGGACTTAGTCTGCATGTAAATGTCACGCATGAAAATATCGGTTTTCTTTTAATTATAGCGTAGGTGGGCCTTCTACATGAACGTGTAGTTCCAAATCATCTTGTCATTACAGAAAACAGAAGTGAATGGAAGTAGCAAAGAGTTACATGTACCGTACATGTGTCATACCTGTACTTGGATGTGAAGCCTTCAGATATTAACCAAGATAGGCAAACCAGGCCCATCAAAAAGAATATTCAATTATCAGTCTGTCGTCCAAATTGTATTCATTGAAAATATTTCAATTTTATTGTCTGCATTTGAACATTTGCTAATTTTTAGGCTTTTGTTGATTTTCAAGTTGCAAGAACATACATAACTACAGTAGCAGTTTTGTGTATAGATTCCTGGCTTTTATCTCTTGCAGTGTTGAAATTTATCCATACATATAAATCTGTCTTATGTGTTTATGATGGCTAGTGACAGTTAATTCCTTTAAAATCAAAGAGTGTTTCCGCATCAAGTTTTCAAGCTTTGTATCTGAAAAGTTTACTGTAGAATTTTATCATTCAAAGGGCAACTGAATAAGGAAGACTTTTGACAAATGCGTCAATGGAATATAATACATGCGCTGTGCTATGTACAGGTACAAAAATAGTTTCTGTGATTGGTTAGTTACTGGCAAGTAACATTTACCTCTGCTCTCAATTCACTTTGCTGACTTGTGGAAAATCCCTACACATATTGAACAGTGATATGAAACTGCAGTATGTTGATTATAGACCTAGTCAGGTTCCAGTCATACGGAAAATCAAAACTAAACCTTGTCGTTTGCTCTGATATCTTCAGCTGTTGGAATATATCATTGTCTCAGGATTTGCACATTCGGGAGTAACCCTCAGTTACATGTATGCTTTTTTGTTGGCTGATTGACATTTCATGTTCAGTTTTATGATTTGTTGTCTTGTCAGGTGCATAAATATCAGCCATGCGTGAATACAAGCTTGTTGTCTTGGGATCAGGTGGTGTTGGCAAGAGTGCCTTGGTAAGTAGAGTCATGACATTTGCATGAAATTTACATGAAGTCTTCCACCCCCCCCCCCAAGTCTTCCTTGCAAATGTCAAGTTTACATTGACAAGATTGGGGATCTTGTAGATGCACTGTGTTAGAACATCCAGTCAAATGCATTGGGTTTACCGCACAATTTACAAGAAACTTCAAGACACATTGGATCTGTCTTTGGAACGGTGACACAGATGACTATGTTCTCACAGTGCACAATCTTATCCATAGTTTTGATGATACATGTACATACCTGCATAGTACCTGTACTTACTCCTTGCTGTAATTATGTAACTTCCTGATACATTGTGTATTATTTACAAATCAGGTGAAACCTCATGGCACCAAATAATTTTAATGTCATCATAGAGTGCTAACCCTTACCATATCCCACTGTTTAACTTTTCTGGTCATTGAAGGTTTGTGTTCCTAAAAGCTCAAATTTAGGGGTTTTTTTCATCTTCTTGCTGCCTTACAGACAGTACAGTTTGTTCAAGGAATCTTTGTCGAGAAATATGATCCTACCATCGAAGACAGCTACAGAAAGGTATGGTCTCTGAGGCGTTGTTACAACTTAACACAGTTGATTAACAAAATAACACACAACCTGTGGATCATTTCAGGCTTAACATTTTTCCGTATTTTGTATTTAAAACAATGTGAAGTGGACCTATTTGTCTGGTAAATTAGCATATCCTGCATAAGTTTTTTGCAAATGTACTCATACTCTGAAGAAAGTTTGAACTTGTCGTCAGTTTTTCTCTTCAGTTCATCCCTTTCCAACATACAATTTACCAGTGGGCCATATCAGCTAAAAGAACATTGCAAAATCTTCTCAACAAAAAGCCATACAGTTGTGGGCACACGTGTGGACTGTGCCAGGGTTGTTTACAGCTCTGTGTCTTGAGGTCACACGACGACCTTAATTTCAACAGGAAGTAGCCAACAGCTCCACTCCACCCGACAAGTTTTGTATGTCATGTTGATTATGGATGCATTGTGAACAGAGAATAACAGATCAAATGTGGGGAAAACATGGCTTAGGTGATATTTGCCTGGTGTTTTTACCTGGTGGCAACAGAAGCACACTGTGTCAAAGTCGTCATGATTTTGTTGTCAACTTTAATCCATTTCCATCAAATGTGCACATTTAAATTTAGATCTCTATCAGGGTTGAGTTGGGGATGTACAGTCCATGTGCACAGGCCTGCATACCGTATTTCCATTACATTACATAGAGATAGGTTTACATCTGACTATAGTGCTTACTATTGTACTCTTACTAAAAGCATTATGGTTAAAACACATCCTTTCCAAACTTGAAGATAACCACAACGTTTCAGTTTCTGTGTTGTGTTGAGTATCAAGACTTTGAACTGTAAATCGATATGAGCTAATCTCCATCTGAGGCACGATGGCACTACCCACATGTACACGTACGTACCAGAAAGATGTCATCGACAGAAACCAATGCCATGTATATGAGTTACCCACATGTGGCAAAACAAGTATACACTCTGTAATCTGAAACTGTTTGTTTCTGTTGTGGCACATCAACAAAGCTCATCAACAAAGTGTCGTAAAGAGAACTGCTTTGAAAAAGGATGCCCTTTAATAACTCAAGCCAAAAAAGGACCTTAAACAGAGCTTGGCCTAGGGGTGAGATTTGCCAGGATTCTTCCTGAATTACAGAATTTTTTGATAGGATTTTTCTGGATTTCAGGATTTTTTTATCAGGATTTTTCTGGATTTTGGGGTTTTTCCATCAGGATTTACCCACTCTCTGGATTTTTCAAACGATATCTTATAACGTGCAAAATCCTAAGTTTACCTTTAGGGTGTTTTTTTGTGTAAAAGTCGATATGAAACACAAGCAGTATGGAGGTATTTGAAAGGGTGCTATGAAGCAAAGACACTGTGCTGCTGTGGCATCCTCAAAACCTCGGATAACTATTTTGTACCTTTAAGTATTTTATTTTCCTCCAATTTCACCCCAGACAGCCTTGTGAAAAACCCAATTCCTTGAAGAAATTCAAACTGTATACATGTACATGTATTAATTTAATCATTTGTGCTTAACTTAAAGATTCTGCATACATGTAATTTAATTATACAAAGGTTGGAAATGTGGCAAACTCTCTTAGAGTTTCATTTATTAGCATCTTAACGAATGGGCAAGACTTGTTACAAAAGAAAACCGTGGAGTCTGTTTGGTTTTCAAATTTTTGATTAATTTTGATTCAGTAGCAGTTATGCGTTAAAGCAACCTCAGAGGGCAAGAGTTTTGTATTACTGTGATAGGCTTAAGTTAAGTTTTGTTGTAACCAAATTAAAATAACACAAACAGCCTCTGAGATACCATGGAGACGCCAGCAACACACAACCTCTATGCTGATAACACTTCATTCACACAATCAGTTGGTTGCATCTCAATTCTCCTTGCTGTGTTCAATGACCCTTATCCATCCCTTGCTGGATCAAACGTGAACGTGACAACAGTGACTGTGGAATGCAGATCTTAATGAACATGACATTGCACAAACCATCATCATGAGGAATCCTGTGGCGAATTACATGCATGCGAATAGCTGTATTTAGATTTCAGTCATCAATATTTTGTATGACTTCCTTATTCCATCAGAGGGTAATAGACACTGTTAGAAATAAGGCCAAGGGGATTCTCTGACTTAATCCACAAGACACACAATCCATGCTAAGTAGGTTTGCCCAAGGAGGAGTGTACTGAAGTCAGTCAACAGCATATTCTTCGACTATTTGGATATTGTTTTTGTATACACGTGCCTGACAGTCACTCCAGTTAGAAAAACCCAGCAGTCTCCTGACAACAGACTGAGCTCACTGTTGAGTAAAACTGGGTCCTTTTGGGACCACTCATACTCACAAAAGAGATAGTTCGTGTGCTACATGGTGTAACCACAAACCACTCTCCTTGCCTTGCTTACAGTATGTGTTCAGACTGATTCTTGTGAAGGAATCTGCCATAAAAATGATTTGCAGTAAATTGTTATGGTGGTCATTTGAGTAATCCTTAGGTGTGGCCATTTGTGACGAGGTTTAATATGATGCGATTCTGAGATTGCCATTCTGTTATCCTTGAATGGCTGAAACACATTGGTCTAAAAATGAATGTCACTCAAACCACGATCTAACCACTCTTTTTCTAAACAACATTTGGTATGGATTTACTATCTTGATACTGATCTATAAATGCTAGGTAGGTTGTTACTTATTAAAAGGATCAACCATGTGTGGTAGATGATTCTGCTTCATGGAGTGCTTTTACTTAGCAACGATGGTCCTTTGGTAGGAACTGATTGCTTGCATGTTGCGTGTGCAGGGTTATGGGTGTTTGCCAAGCACCCAGGTGAAGCCATTCTCATCTCTTCTTTACCGATGGAGGAATTGGGGTGGATAGTTAGTGATAAACTTGGAATAAACTTAACCATTTAATAAGGAGAAATGCCACAGAATGCAAAAGTTGGAAAACTCTTGGTGAAATTTGGTCGATTGAACAAAAAACAACAAACAAAATTTGGAATCAGCAACATGCATAAACTGTCAACAGGTTGAAAGTCACATAACATGCATCTTTTTTGTAGATGAAATCCTAAGGGAAAAAGTTTTCACAGACTTAAGCAACCTACGTACACGTTCATGTATCAAGAAGAGTCTAATTACATTGTACAAGAAAACTCACATTTGATATCATGAATAAAGAGGAGATAAGGAGATACACCTGCAGGTACATGTACCCTCTGAGTGTGTACATGTACCCTCTGAGTGTGTACATGTACCCTCTGAGCGTGTACATGTACCCTCTTAGCGTGTACATGTACCCTCTGAGCATGTACGTGTACCCTCTGAGCGTGTACGTGTACCCTCTGAGCGTATACGTGTACCCTCTGAGCGTGTACGTGTACCCTCTGAGCATGTACATTGTGTATACTGTACAAGTAGGGTTTGAGGAAATTATTTGAATGTTTAATTAAGTAATGTCATACATGTACGTACAACTTCCTGGTATTTTAACATGTTGTTAGCAATGCAAGTCAGCCAATCTTATTCATTGGGTTTTCCATCATGTTGGTAAATTTTTGTTCATACAAAGTGCAAGTCCTAATAAACTGAAGGCATCACTGTGATTTCTGTAATGAAAGTAGGAAGGAAGGTTTTTTAACTTACCACAAGTATATTGTGTGGACATCTTTCACTGGGTAAAGCTTGTATTTCACCTTGTTTAGTGTTGAGTTCTTATAAGCTCATTCTCAACCAGCAGAAGTGCACAAAAGTGAGTCCATATAATTGACTTCAGGTTTATTTGACTGGTACATGTATAATGCATTCACATGTACTTAAACAGGTGTCTATTTATACACGTGTGCATATGTATTCACGTTTTCATTTTGTGCATCCATGTTTCTCAAATTAGAATTTATTTCTAGGTTCACTATGTACCATACGTACCAATACCTCCTGTTGGAATTTTCATGCCCAATCAAAACCTCTTTTCCAACGTTTATATTTTTGTGAGAGTGTTACTTGTTTTCTCTACTAATGTATGTTTTCAGACAAATTTCTCCCCGAATCCACAGTGTCCTTGGCTCACACAGTGTTCAATGAAGCAATTTTGTACACAACAATACATGTAGCAAAGGGTTAATGCCTGTATTGCTGTGAATGTCATAGCATCAGTGCAACCTCATTCTGTCATGTCTGTTGACATGTATGTACAATGGCAATGACATCTATCAGTAGGCTACATTTGTAACCCGCTCTGCAAAAAAGGTGCAGTCACGCCATGCAAAAACACGTAATGGCCCATTCCATGCGCCGAGGGTGAAAACATTTGGAAATATTTTGATGTCAGTTGCTTGACCAGAAAGGCTCTGTTGCTAAGGAAACCAAGAGAGTGTCTAATTTCAGTTTAATGTTTCTATTTGTGTTTAAAGGGCATTGTCTCGAAAAGCATGTATGATAAAATGAAATTATATGAATGTGCATATGGCAAATAACTCCAAAACACAAAATGCCACTGGGATGAATTATATGTCAAGTGAAAGCTTAGGATGTGAGCAGTTTGATTATATAGGCCTACATGCATAAGTCAAATTCCAAAAAAATGTGACATAATATACCTTTCTGCAGAGCTGGTTACGTTTAATAAAAGATGCATACACAACTGTACTTAATTTTATTATGCAACTTCTATTATGCAATTTATGCAACTGGCCACCAGTAGCTGGCTGGTGTTTGGTACATGTACATGTACTTCGTAGATTTCATATCTGTCATGTCTGTGTTCCCTTTGCTATACAATGCACCGGTACTTTATTGTGTCCTGTAAGGTGGAATGTTTCAGGCTTCACCCTTCTCATCTTGTAATCAACACCATGTTGGAAAACCATCAGTGAATAGCTTTTTTCTCTTTACCTTACAACCGCATAGTGTAATCATGTGATTTCTTTTCCCCCAACAGCAAGTGGAGGAAAATGGCTTATCATGTATGTTGGAAATTCTGGATACGGCAGGAACAGTAAGTAGCACTCATTCAGTTTAATTGGTGCTGAGAAATCTTGATGGCCACAAACAAGGATTATGGTGTTAGTTCATATCAAAGCTCACAAAAGAGCCCATTCATGCCAGATTTCTTAGTTGTTCTTGATTACTACATGTAGGTGAAATTCTGCATTTGTACACACTGAACCAAAACACTCCATTTGTAAACTGTGTACCGATCCAAATTGGTGGTAGAATCATGGAGGAAGGCCCTACTGTCACTGAAAATTGTGCCAACAGTGTAGCTGATATAACAAGGTCATTTTGTACCAGAAGGTAATTTTTGTGGCCAACAATGAATACAACAGGGCTTCAGCGTTACTGGCAGCTCTCTAGGAATATTTGCAGAAAGGATTGTTCCTTTTCATTACACAGTTTGAGCACTGTAAGTCCAAGATATTGGTAGTTAATAAATGGTAACTTCTTTCTGCTTCACAACATAGGGACACCAGGCTTTATGCCAAGCAGTAATGACTAGACTGTACTAATCATGGAATTTTAAAGTTAAATGCATTATTTGCCAAGACACTTTGTATGTTGAGTAAAAAACAGTAATGTACATATGGATTTGATACATGTTGTGTAGACATCCAAACGTGCTTGTTATTTATGCAAATGTTCAACAAATCAGTTAGCACATCTCACTTCAGAAAAATGCTGTCATACATGTAGGCCATAGTTGACACATGAAGATAGTGAGAGTATCATAAAGAATGTCGCCACCAGATTTCCAGAAAGTACTTTGACCTTGTAGATAATGATGCATAACTGTGGCTGGGTGTATACTGTGTATATGTGCCATAGGTGTAGTTCATATGCGTAAGATGGTACTGTACAAAATTATCTGATCATATCATATTCAATTTCTGTCATCATAAGCTCTCTGTATATTGAAAAAGAAAAGGCCATGTGTCTATCTCCATTGGTGTGATCATTCAAGCGAGAAAAATTTGTGGCATCTCTCCAGCTCAGAGGCAGTGAGTAATATTCCCGATTGGCTTACTGCCTAGATGGTATCCTTTATGATTGTAGGTGATATGTGTGGCATGTGTGTGGGCAGTACAGGAATTGACCTTGTGCAAAGTCTATGTACAAATCATAATCCTTCACACGTACATTACCTGGCAACATTAGGTTCACTTGCCATATGGATCCACCCATTTCTTGGAACCCAGTTACTACACTTGTACGTGTAATTTATGTATAATTTAATGCCTCATTACAAACCTGCCTAAGGTTTTCCTTGGTTTCATGCAGAGAATATGACATCTGGTTTACTGCATGATGTTCAGAAAGTATTGGAAATGTCCTAGCAAATAATTGGTTAAGTTTGGGGATTGAGAAAACCTGACTTTCAATCATAACACTTTCTGTACATCACATAGTATGATTTTTCTAATTTTATGTAGAAACATAATCATTATCCAATATATAATTAAACAGATACATGCACAAGTATTCATTCTGTTTACATTCCTCATAACAACTGTTCCATTTGAATGACATTGGCCTTAATTAGACTCATGTTATTAGTATCAGACACTTATATTGAGCATGTACATTTAATTGACTTTACTATGCCCTATTATTATCACAATCATAATTGCTTTGAGTTTCCTGATATTGTTGGCTCAAGGTTCAACCGTCTCTGATAGGTACAATGTACATGTATACCAAATTGACTAGTTTTACCTCATGGACAATGTACAGTATGGTTTGCTTAGTGATAGGTTTTGTAGCTTCATTTCCACTGCACAAATTCATGTCAACATTTACTCATGATTTACTGTGGTCTGTGCTCGACATCATCTAGCGTGGTTCTCAGTAGTTCTGATTTATTTTACGTACACGTACACTTTTAGAGAATTGGTGGATAGAGATGTCAAGTTGGCATGTCCCGATAAATTTATGGAGTGAGTTCATCCCAGGGTTGGACACGCTCATAAAGTATGGCAATACTAACTACAGGAACGTTATTTCAAGTTTGCACCGTCCAAAACATGTATCTCTGTAATTTTTTTGCAAGCAATCTTCCTTGTCACTTTGTGCCATAACCCGACATCACTTTATAAGCCTTGTGTAAGGTATTGATGGCAGTGGCTCCCCCGTTGTACTGTGCTTGTATCTGAATTTGTTGGAATACAGATGGAATTTGATAGACTTTGATTGTTACTGTGTAAGCATCTTGTCATTTTTCCCTGTATGGTTTGTTTAGTGACTTAGAATTCTAAGAGGTCATTTTATGATGTCACTGCTTGACCAACCCATGTCTGTGTTTGCACCAGGAACAATTCACAGCCATGCGAGACCTGTACATGAAGAACGGTCAAGGGTTTGTCCTGGTCTACTCTATCACAGCTCAGTCCACATTTAATGATCTGCTGGACTTAAGAGAACAGATCTTACGAGTTAAAGACACAGACAATGTGAGTACTCATAGAGTGAAATTGTACATATCAATGTAAAAACAAGCCTATGATTGCCATATCTGGTGACCAGTTCAACTTGCTGTGTTGCTTGCTTTTCTGATTTTTAATTGGATGCTTCCCAAATCTTCAGGCATGCAACTTTCCCTATGGTCAGCTGATTTCCTCAGATAAGTTGATTTCCTTAGATCAGCTGATTTCCTCGTTTTTCACTTCACACTCGTGCCATTGAAAATGACAAAACTCCGTGCAAAGTCTTGTAAACATTGGAATTTCCTTGTTATTTGTCTAAGTCCAAGTTACATGCCTACATCTTGTGACAGTTAATTTAACATTGGTGTGGTGTTTGTGAATGGCTGTCACACACGTCATTGTGGGTTGCTGTTTTTATGTCTTTAGGTGCCCATGGTACTGGTGGGGAATAAATGTGATCTTGAAGATGAGAGAGTAGTTGGCAAGGACCAAGGAGTAAACCTAGCCAGGCAGTTTGGAAACTGGTAAAGTTAACAACCCCTACTTGGAATCCTTTTCAAGAGATTTCTCAATGCATTTTATAGTTCAGTATAGATAGAATCTCAATGCACAGTTTTGAATTTGGAGTTCATATCATGCCAATCATAATCTCTGTTGTACTGTTATTTCAACCTTTACGTTTATAACTGATGAGCTTTACAAACCTGATGAGATTCAACATTCTACACTTATTTTATCTATGATCAACAAGGTGAGGCATCTTCTTTTTTCACGTTGTCATTGTTCTATTATCCCGTATCTTTTCTTCCGTTTCTCTCTCTCCAGCACATTTTTGGAGACATCGGCCAAAGCCAAGATCAACGTGGACGAGATTTTCCATGACCTGGTGCGGCAAATCAACCGTCAGACACCTGATCCAAGACGGAAGCCCAAGCAGAAGAAGTCAGGTTCAGGGAAATCCTGCGTATTGCTGTGAGGGGGACCCTGGTGCTGTTAAAAGGGGGAGTGCACGCTTAAATAGGTAACAGAGTTGATCTCTGTGTTTGATTTTATCGATTACTAATGAGAGGTTGTGCAGCTTGTATGGTTGTGATGCCTCATCGTGCTGCGAGTGCACGTATTGTGTGGCTAGTTTATTTGAAAAAGGTACATGTACAAATTGGTGTAAAGAAACAGACTCACTGATGACACCTTAGCTAGCCAAATATGTGCTGACAAACTATAAACATACAGTTTGTAAAAGAAGTAAATAAGTTTGATGTGAGAGCTGCTGACTTTGGGTAATCAATGAGGTATACAAATGACCAACCATGTGACAAAAATTAAGAATAAAACTAAAAAACAAAAATTGCCCAAAATGAAGTTTTTTTATCCTGTGTAAACATGCTTTTTGTTCCCCTGAAAGTTCCATACCTTAGAGACGGCAGACAAGAAGGGGCATAGGTTTACTGTTGGATAATAAAAGTATTCTTTTTTTATTTATTTTGTAGGGGGATTTTTGGCATGGTAGAACGTGCTTCAATACTGGCTCCATTCTCAACTCATGTTTGTCATGCCTCGGTGCTGTTCATCCTAGTCATCCGTCAAGTATTTTCAACCATTTGACTGTTTGTATGTTCAGTGGGATTGGCAGGAAAGCACACTTTCTACAGAGAAAGCTTGGAACCAAGGATTTGTGAGATGTGACCGTACAGGTGCATGTGTACTTGAGCTTTGTATCCTATAGCAGTGTATGCGCATAATGTTCTTTGTCCCATCGGCTTCAGTTCTAGCAGACCCTGATATCATCATCATCATGAAGCAAATTATGAATGTTGTCATTCACAGCATGTGTTGGGGGTCAACAGAGGAATCAAATTTTATGGTGTACATTTTTAAAAATTTATTTGGAATAAGGTATCGTTTATTTTCATTTGTCCACAAATGAGTAAAGGTAGGCTCATGGTGTTTTGAATTAGCAGTCAGCTTTTTATGGAGTTATTTGGAGGGATTTGATCAGTGGTTAAAGAGGATGTTTTGTGTGTTTGTACCTGATCAAAGTTGATTGAACCTTACAGGAAATCAGTTGTGGGTTTCATTATTTTTTCCAGTCCATCTACACATATTTCCCGTTACAAACACATGCCGGTACTGGGGTTACCCTTAACCACTTTCATTTCTCATCTCTGTTTTGGAAGTGTGCTGTTCTTTCCCGGTGTTCATGTCTAAGCATACCTGTACAACCACTTTTGTATAAGACTGGCATGTAGTCTGGTGCCACCAGTAGTCTTGAAGCTAGACCTCTGTAACACATGCATAACATAAAACTGGGAATAGGGCCTGCTGGAAACACAGGAATTGAATGTTGAATAGTGTCATGTCTGCTGCCTGACGTTATTAGACCACTTTATTGTAGATGAGCCATAAGGAACCAGGCATTTGTTGGCTTAATAAGGGATGATCAGTTTATTATGATGTAAATGAACTTGAACTCAAAATTGTGAATACCACACAGTTGTGCCAACAAAGTGCTATTTTTTCAACTTAAATACTGACGAAAATAACTCTTACTATGTCTGATAATGACGACCCTAATAGTGGTCAGAAAGTGGTAGTCTCATTGCAAAATTATTTTGTTGCCTGGGACCACTTTGTCAAGTTTATTATTTCATGAAATTTTCGCTTCTTAAATTTGTATGCTTGGCAAAATTCAACTGAGAAAAAGCCAATTATTGTATTTTACCTGTTACTGAGGCCGATAAGCTCATTAAAATAATCCCATGTACGCAGAGCAGTTTGAACATGATACAACATTCAAGTGGCCATGGCGCTACCGGCTTGTCTTTTTGTAAATGGCAAGTAATGGACAGTAAAACGTGACCTGCCAATGCTTTGCAGTCCAAGTTGCCTTTCTTGTTGTTTCTAAAAGAGAGTTTCCAGAAGAAGCCATGTTGACGGTCAGTCTTATTTTTTGTTCCTCCGTGGAGTATGCAGAAGGGGATCACAGGTGCTGTAGCTGAGATCACCAGCAGGAAAATTGGAATATAATTAATGGTAAAATTATCTGCACAGGTTTTCATCATTGCCTCGTTCTTTACAACAAAGCATTTTGTTTCCTGTGTAAAGAATCCTTGTTACCAGACCACATTGTTCTGTTTCATTCCCAAGATTCTGGTAGAGTAAAGAAACTAGTGTTGAAAACAAAGCAAGTACCCTAGGGATTTCTATTTATTGTGTGACCGTGCAGAGATCCTTTGTGTTTATTCTCATGGTCGTTTTCATAGCCTTTAGCCTAGTTTTGACATAGAAACGTTTATGTTCTGCACTTTATCCCCTCAAACCCGTGGCATAGTCATCTGAAATCTAGACTAGGTTTTCATAGATGCACTGTTCCCCAAAATGAAAAGTTCTCCGAAAAGACTGATGTTAGGTCTAATTATTCAAGCCGGAGTATTTGCCATTCTTCGTATGCTGTTGTCTTTTCACATACAAGTCTTTTTGATATGAACATTGTAATTCTAACCTTAAGTTAGACCCTATTTACATGAATGTTGTGGATATGCAAGTGGAGTTTGCTTTTCTCTGATGTTTCATCCTTGTCATTTTGATTGGAACAGTTTGATGCTCTTGGACTATTTCTTCATGGGAGAATATTTCATCTTTCCTTCTGTGTTGGATTTCTTCAACTAAGGGTTTTCCCATAATTTGAGTGGATAACCCCTATCATTTTTTCGTTACATTTAGCATCAACATAGCAACCATTGTATCAGAGAAATCTAACAACCTGCATTAAGATGACACTTTAGTATCTGGGGTGGGGAGGGAGCTTTGTTGTGACCCCTCAAGTTCTGAAAGGAAACTTCAGCTAAACTTTCCTGAAGATGATGCTTTTGAGGTGACGTTGCAAAATGTTATGCAATATATATATACATGTAATACCTCTCTTCAACGGACCAATGCAGGTATTTTGAGTGATAGAAATAACCTTCCTTCCACTCTGCTAGCACCCAGTGCCCTGAGGTCAAAGGTGACTTATCTCATTGAAAATACTGTAAAGGAAATGCAAAGAATTATGGGTTGTTCTAGCATAAGCAGTGTGTCTTGAAGAGTTGATCTTGAGGTCACTAAAAGTTAACGAGTGAGAGGTCACTTAAACAGCCGTTGCCCTTGGATTATAAGGTAGAGGACGTTAGCTCCTAGTTATTAGCACATCCTTCACTAGTCTCAACTCTGCTATCATTGAGTATTAGATTCCGTTTTGCAGTTTTACTGCAGTTACATATTCTGGCACATATTTTATTCCATGTGTTCTGGTGTGTCTGTTTATAGCTCGACTACTGATGGGTGTGATATGACCTATATTTATCCATGGTGTAGCAGGAGATTGTTAGTGAAGGCCGTTTATGCAACGACAATGAAGTTCAGATTTTGCTCATACCTTTAATTGCATCAGATCACCCATATCTTGGTGGTTGGCTTCAAATACACACCGCAATACGGGTGATTGCAAAGGTAACTGGACATTTGAACACTAAACAGTTGGCACAGGCAAGTAGTGTAAACACAGGGCTCATTGGCAATGTATTTGGAGATTGTTGGGTTTTGGTTGGAGTAATATAACAGGTCAAGCAGTCATGTCCATAGATACACTTCTACTCAAAAAGGATGTAACAGCAGATCTCCTTCACTAAGTTGTGCCGACTCGTATTTTTCTGACCCAACAGTTGCATTCAGCTTTTTGTTTCGGTAATTTTAGCTTTGATGTAGTTGATGAAGGCAAAACATTGAGTTGAGAAGCACTTGAGACAGGAATCATTCAATGTTTAAAGTCTTACCTGGCATGTAATTGTCAAGATAACTGCTCCCCTTGCAAATGTAATGCTTAGAAGTGAGTTTTAACAAAGGTATGTTCTGTGGAACAAATGTGGAATTAATTTTGCAACTGTATCAGGCATGAACCAGCGTTTACAGATTATCTGCTTTGATGAATGTTAAACTGTAAATAAATCAAAAGTCTTCTGTAAAAATAATATTTTCTTTTCTTTTCCTTCATTATTCAGACCCTATTTGATTGTAGTAATTTTTGTCATGTAGTTGATGTATCACTTGCCCATCTTGGTTTGTTTGTAAGATGGATGAAATGATACTATTCAATGCAATGTCCGTGCTCTTGCTTCAGCAAATTGTCTTATAGCAAACAGTGTGTCTTCATTTGACTCGTTTGAAAAAAGGGATTGCCCATTTACTTCATTTAAATGTATTTAATGTAATATACTACTCCAAAATCTTGTTCTTGGGTCACAGCTATTCTGTAGCCTTGTAATACACAACAAAATAGACTGAAAACTACTAATATTAGAGGTTTTTTAAAGTACAAATAAGTTAAGATTGATGGAAAGTTGTCATTTAAACTGGCAGGTGTAATGTGTTCCTGAAGTCTTATTGTTGACAAAAAGGTGGACATCTGTAAAAATGAATATGGTGTTTAACAAAGATAAGGGTTTATACCAAACCCAGTTCATAGATACTGCATACAAATACATGTACATAACTCCAGCTGCTTACGGGAGGCTCAGTGCCACTGTGGAGGGTTGAACGTGACTTGTTAATTGAAAGTGAAATGATCTGTATACCGTTCAGGGTTTGCACGGCTGCCATCTTGCAGGCCAGTGCATTTGTTTCACAGGCTATGCACAAAGGCGGTTTCCCTATGGAACAACAGAAGTGCCCTGCAAGATGGCTACCATGCAAAGCCCTCTATACACCCATGAATGGTTTGCATTGCAGTTCTATGGATGTGGTCACAGCATCCTCCATTTTTAACTGTCCAGTAGCATAAGGAATGGTTGTTTCTTTGTAAGCATGCACAATTTGATTTCAGTGTCGTTCATAATACACTCATTTACCATTATGTGAACGTACATGTGCACTCCAACATTTGTGATTGCAAAACATTGGTGCATTATCAGTGTACTGGCGGTAGGGCATCGTTAGGTCAGGTGTTAATCTCTCCTGCCTCGTGGGAAAAGTCTTAAATTGTCAAACCCACAGAAAACATCCAAGTATGTTCCTTGTTTCTATCGAAACCATGACTTGGTTCTTTTCATTGTGCAATTGAAGGAGGCATCCTCAGATGACCTTTAACCTCTGACCTAACAATGCCCTACAGTTGAAAAGTTTTCTGACTCCAGCCTTCAGTCTTTTTTAAGAAGTGATTGTGGTTTATAGGCTCAATACATTTTTACAAACTGTACACATTTCAATGAATACCACAACAGCTTAACAATAAAGTAGCAACTTCTACAGTGAAAATGAAATCCTTTGGTTTGATTTTGTGGATGAATGAAAACAAATCAAGGTGGTTCCAAACAGCTGTAGTAAAGACCAGCAAACTTTTTAAGTACTCTATTAAGATACTGGTATCTTCATATTTACATACAAAGTAAATTGTACTCCTTCAATTTTACACACACACTTTTGCACACACAGTCTTACAACACAGCCCATTTCACAATATTTTCCCAAACTCTTCAATTGGACGTTCTCTGCAAAGATTGACAGGAACCCATTTATAGAATACAAACCATATTATTTACACTTTGTAAAATGTCAAATGTTTAAAATTTGCCTAGTTGTTGCAGACCATTCATTCAGACACATCATAAAGGAGCCAAAGTACCCTCCAAACTGAATGACAGGAAACAGATGAACTGAACACCAAAGCACTGAGTACAACAACGCAGTGGATATTTTACCAGCAATGCTACACCTGTAAGCCTACCTCTGACATCAATCCATGTCGTTCCTTGCCAACATGACTCCAAGTTCACAAAAAATTGACAGATTTTCTTCAAGGGATTCTAAGAAGGAAATGCTGATGACACTCTCTTCATTTACATAAACGTTGGAGAACTAGGGAAAAAAATGCACTGCACACGTCGACATGAACTCATTCTACACATAATGGGTGAACTAAAACAGATTGTGTGAACCCTTGTGTGGACTACGCCAGGTCCCATGTAAGGTTTCCTCTTACTGAAAAACTGGTTCTTAAGCACTGGGGTCAGGGTTATTTGTAGCAAAATCTAGCCATGATTTTCTGCAGTGCCAGAAAAAGGAGAGCTTGTTCTCTCGGTTTTTACATGAGAACAACGGAATGACCTCATTTGATACCCGCATGTACTGTACACATAAACAGATGTGAGAATTTGTGCAAGAGAATGCTACAAACATCGCGCCGTGGCATCAGTGGAATATTTCTGAGAGTTAGGGGGTAGGGAGCGGAACTCTGGGTGTCTCTGTGGAGAGAGATACTTCTCCTTACACTCCCTGTCCCATTTCAACCACCCATGTCCCTGTGTGTCAGGAACAAATCTTTGCCTGTGTACACTACAGATAGGATACTTTCTCTCTGTCAAAGTTGGTTCCCCTAATCAGCATTGACTGATTGATTGACATCATTGTGTGCTCAGATTTATTGCCCCATTAAACTACTTACACATCCAAGGGCCCTAACAGAGCAAGTAAATGAAGTTTCAGGAAACAGAAAAGCCTCACTGTTCATTGGGCGATTTGCGACAGAATGGACAGTGGTTCTTCTGCAACACTAGCAACTCGAACTCATCGGTGTGAAAGAACTGGAAATGAAAGAAAGCAATAACAATTATCTCAGTTTCATTCACTTCAACAAATTCACTAACTTCCGCTGGCAGTAACATTACAATCGAAATCATCTACAGCTTTACCTGGTTGCAGGATGGACATATTGTAACAGACACATCGGGCATGATTGTCTTGAAATATTGGTAGCGTAACGGAGAAGGCCACTTCCTGATGATGACGTGATGACGCTCCATAGACTGTAGGACAGATCGACCAACCACGACGGGAACAAACTCACTTCCCCCTTGCTGTCAATAAAAGGACAAAACCAAAATCAATTCTACGATTCAATACAGGAGAAATAAAATAAATTGTGTGGATATCATTCTCTACGGACTCAAGAGCATACATGCACCCCTCAGCAGTGACAACGAACATCTGAAAGCTATTGGTGCTGGGTTCAATGCCAATACAACGACCTGAACATTCATGCACATTGAGGGTAGGCTCAACATCACGAGTGCACACAAGTACGTGTTACCAACACAGAGAAACAGAAAAGCATTCTTATCCTCAAGAGAGAGATCCTTTGATAAAAACAGTCTTCTACTGAAGGTACAACTGAACTGAAGCCATCAACATAACTATGTCGAGTTGGATTTTATGGGATTTTGATGGATTTTAAAGGGTATGGGTTGAAGGATTGTACACCTGTCTATATAACTGACCTCAAAGCTAAGTAGCCGGGCAGTAAATGGGTCCTCCTCTGCCCCTTCATTACTGTATTCATCCAATCTCATGGACTGAGCTCCGCCCACCGTCGATTCCTGCCATCCATCGCCTCGTTGGCCAGACTTTCTCATTGGTTCCATCTGGATCAAACTAACCGCCTCCTCATCAGTGATCCCTTCCTCCAAGACAAACTCTACCAGGGGCAAGATATCTACAAAAAGAACAGTCAGATGAACAGATTCTCAATCCTACTAACCCCTTAAATCAGGCTATAAATCGTTGTTATACTGTTGTTGGAAGTTGCTGAAACTCTAAACCTTTCGAGATTCAATTTTTACAAGAAGCAGCTTGTAACTAATTTTTTTGGGCAACTTTGGCATGTGTTTTGAGATGGTGGGTCACACAAGCCTTTCTGCGACCTTGCATTCCAAATATTGCTCAGTCCCACTGCCAAAGCATTGTGAAAGTACGCTGTACTGAAGGGGGTCTGTCTTATTCATCACACTCTGCCTGCATTAGGTCTGTAGGATCACAGCGAGTATTAACTTCATCCTCTCTGCTTAGAAGTATCTTGCATTTATGGACCAGCTCCTGCCAATGATATACAGGGCACAGACTATGGGATATCTTTAACAGTACGGTCTGTTGAATGGTAAAGATAAAAAGAAAGAAAAACCTCTCCTAACCAAATGATGAGAAGGAATGAACGAAGGGCTGAGCACAGTTGATGCATTGGTTGCCCTGATTGTTGAGGAGAGGGTTGGTGGTTGAACAGCGATAACACATAGGTAAGATATCCTGCAATACAAAGGCACAGGAAAATTATCAGCATTTGCTATTTGCAAAATAATAGACTTTGAATTTCCCTCAAATACAAAAGTTCCATTATAAGTGTTAAATTGACAGAAGATAGTTGCATTGTCATTCCTCAAGAGGATATTGTGCATACCAAATCTACAATCACTACCACATTTGTCTTACCTCTGCATCGTGGAATGGTTTAGACCTGATTGTGATGCTACCTAGATCAATGGATTCCTGAAAACGAAGGGGTATCCTTAGAGATTGAAGCTTCTCAAAGGCAAAGCGGGCCAGTTTATATGCTGCCAAAGAACGACTCTGCTTGGCCAAGGCATACAGGGTGTTACTAAACAGGGAAACGCAGTCAAAGGAAACAACTAACAGAGCTTATAATGGAGGAATAACTCTCAGTCTGATCAAGAATTGATGGCCTTTTTTTCTTCACAATGGGACCCATATAACATTGCAACAACCATACCACATAGGTTCAGTGCTTACTCTCCCAATAAAGACCTGTTTTATCTTCATACAAACACCTGTCAGATTTTAGTAACATTTACTGGAGCCCTGTGATAACTTTTAGAGTCATACAGGTGTTACAACATATGCAAAGATTCAAAGAAACGATCATATGTTTCGCAAAATATTGTCGGTAATTGACACTTTTTCTAATGCACGGTCAACAAAAAACCTGCTACTTTCTGACACCTTATATCAAATATTTGGTACATCCCATTATAGGTATGTGTCATCCAGTTTGTGAATTTAGTATCAAAGCATGTACAAGACACCAATTCTATATATTCATGACAGCTCAGCAAACACTTGATCATAAAAATTGTAAAATCCTTAATGCTAAATGACCTTGGTTCTACAAGGTACCTACAGACGTGAAACAATTCTGAAGTTCTTTGTGACTTACAGAGATATTTACCACAACTGTGTAAGAGTGCATCACCACAATGTGAAGTTATGAATACACCTGATGGGCATGGGTTGACAAAGGATACACTTTACTGATGCCATGTGGGATGTCCTTGATGATTGCATGCCACAGGTAACGAGCCATGTTGAAGAGTGCATCTGGTAGGTGAGAGGTGAAGGGTTCATCTGTGTAACGTTGGATGGAGTGATACACATAGTACATCTCAGCTTTGGATTGGAATTCATGAAACTTGGCTAACATGTCCTCTTGCTTGGAGTCTTCAGCTAAAAAAGGAAATCATTAAGAAGTGACATCATTGAAAATTAATGTATCAAAAAAAATTGGTGTGGATGTATTTTTAGAACAAGAATCAATTCTTCAGACTTTGCGTATTTTTAAAACCAAAGTAAAATCTTCACTGTCTTCACATTACAGGCTATGTAAACTCAAAGCTTAGTGAGAACTTGGCCAAAAGGAGTCATCAACTGGCAAGAAATGGCTACCACTTGATCTTTAAATGTCAAACCCAACCTGGTCATTTGAGCTTAACGGCTGGTAGATTGAGATGTCTGCACTAGCAAGCAAGAAGCTGTGAGCTTTGTTTTTAACTGCGCAGCATCAAATAAACAACACATGTTGATGTGGGTCAAACCACAACTTTCCAATACTCCAAACTGACTAGAAGTCTTCAATGAAGCAATGCCTACCCCCTGCAATCTCCAAGCACTGCATGGACAGCATCCAGAAGTAATAGCCTGCATCATTGAAACGACTCTCCAGCACGGCATTATGGGTAAGCTGTTCCAGCACTTTGACTGCCTCATCCTGGCGACCAGCCTTGTGAAATGCTGAGAAGGTAACACATGTAACCATGGTAACAAGTCTCAGAATTCATAAATGCACTGATTTTGTCTGCTTTATGAATAAGTTTCTTTTCATACGATATAATTTCAGTGGTTAGGGTATGAATTAAAGGTTTGAAAAAAAAACCAAGTTTCAAAGACTCTCGTCTAAGTTTTTCGTCTGCACCCCAAAAGTGATAAATGTTGTCACAAGACCTGTCTTCTATGTCAAGGCAATACCATCATGATGATTGTGATTGTGCCTACCTCTCTGTGCCTCTTCAAATCTATCATTTTCTGCAAGCCACTGAGCGTAGGGTACAAACACATCATCCTAAAACACAACAGAAACTGTCAAACTTAAAGCAAGAAACAACTCATGGAACATTTCAGTTCGAGAAATTTCCTAATTCTGAAGAGAAACAATGGATGGAACAGCCTTTCAGGGTACGGGCCTCGAGCTGAACCAAGAGAGGGCGCTATTTTTCTTTGCAATAAAACCTCCTTAGTTAGAACTGATTTTCACTGGTTCATGAACGACTAGGAAATGCACACACCACAGTCACATTGCTACTGGTCAACAAAATCAACACTCCAGACCAATGCGGCTCTTTTCAACCGATGATGAGGCCTTTCCGTCAACCCCCTGCATGAAATCAGCTAGCTATTTTAATAATTCTGAACATTCTTACCTCATGTACACTGAACTTCTCTATAATAGCTCAGATCATGCAAAAAGCCGGCCTAGTCAGCTAAGCTTATTAATACCAACTTCATGACTATGCTAAAAAGCCACACAGTTTACACTTTTAGGACTGGTTCTCGGGTGATCTCAACAATAGCCCAACAATTTCTTCTTGATCAACATTACCAAACCACACCAAACCTACCTTAAATTCTGGGTGTTTCTCTACCAGTGTGAAGGCAGCATCCCAATGTCTTGTCTCCACATGAAGTAAGACCAACGCCTTTGTGTCTCCCATCTTGGTGAAGGTCTCGCTAGCATAGGCATACTGCTCCATCTTCTTGAAGAAATAAGCACAGCGTGATAGAGGTTCCCTCTCAGCTTTGTCAAGCTTGCGGGCGACGTCAATCAGCCTGCAAGGAACACATGCCACGCTCTAGATTTAAACCTCAAATCAAACATTTCAGTTACTTGTTCAGGGAAAATACCCTTAAACAGGTCCCTCTAGCCTTACTTGTCAGCCCAGTTATGGTCCCTCTAGCCTTATGTGTTAGCCCAGTTATGGTCCCTCTAGCCTTACATGTCAGCCCAGTTTTGGTCCCTCTAGCCTTACATGTCAGCCTAGTTATGGTCCCTCTAGTCTTACTTGTCTGTCCAGTTATGGTCCCTCTAGCCTTATGTGTTAGCCCAGTTATGGTCCCTCTAGCCTTACATGTCAGCCCAGTTTTGGTCCCTCTAGCCTTACATGTCAGCCTAGTTATGGTCCCTCTAGCCTTACATGTCAGCCCAGTTTTGGTCCCTCTAGCCTTACATGTCAGCCTAGTTATGGTCCCTCTAGTCTTACTTGTCTGTCCAGTTATGGTCCCTCTAGCCTTATGTTAGCCCAGTTTTGGTCCCTCTAGCCTTACATGTCAGCCTAGTTACGGTCCCTCTAGTCTTACTTGTCTGTCCAGTTATGGTTCCTCTAGCCTTATGTTAGCCCAGTTTTGGTCCCTCTAGCCTTACATGTCAGTCCAGTTTTGGTCCCTCTAGCCTTACATGTCAGCCTAGTTATGGTCCCCTAGCCTTATGTCAGCCCAGTTATGGTCCCTCTAGCCTTACATGTCAGCCCAGTTATGATCTCCAATGATCTCAATGGCCTTGAGATGTTCTCCTGCTGACAGATACATCTCAGCTGCTGCCCTTGGTTCATTGATGTTCTTAGCCCAGTCAGCTTGCTTGGTAATGAGAAGTTTCTTGTCTTGTGGATCTCCTGAACCAATGAATTCCTGATCAAATAAAAAAGAAATCTTAATTTCTACTTACAGTCATACCATTGAATTTGCTTCAATTTCAAAGGAAACGGGCTAATTATTCTAAATATTAAAATGAAATTCCACAACAAGCTATAAGGGGGAAAAACGATTGTGAAAAAAAAGAGAATTTCCTCTCCATCCAAAATGGAAAAAGAGGGAAAAAATTTGTGAGTGTTTTTACCTTAGCATGGTCAAACATCCGTAGATCAGTGTACATGTTCATGGCTCGCTGCTCCTGTCCAGCCCTCTTGTATAGCTTGGCTGCCTCAGCAAACTTGCCTTGGTAGGCAAACACATCAGCTAAGAATAGCTGGTCATTGACCTCTCCACGTCGCTTACGTTCCTGTCAATGAGAACTTAGTACTATAACCCACTGATGGCCACACACTGGTCACTCCAGGGTCACTCCGGATTGTTAATCAGCTTCTGGATCTCACAATTAAAATATCAATAGCTCAGTGACTGTTTAATTCAGTCATATGGGTTATTCCAGAAATTAGGGTTCTTTTTTTGTGTCCCTGTCACATCTGAAGTATGATTTTGAAAGTTCAAAATGCATTTTCGAATTTCAAAGAGAGATGAATTAATGCATATTACCTGCCAAACAAATAGTAATAGTTTGAAATCGATTTTGGCGATATTTCCAAGTCAACTAACAAACGTCAGATGTAACAGAGACACAAAAAGTCACACTTTGGACCCCTAATTTCTGGAATTAACCAAATAGGTTGTCAAACTCAACTTAATTATGAGTTTTCAGACCCTCAGAACTTTCCAGAATTTGCCCAACAGCTCTCAGAACAAATGTTTGCCATTCAAAACTAGCTGTTTACATAGCCACAGACATTCCAAAGTTAATATCTCTATCCTGCCAAGCCTCATATCTTACTTTCTTACTTCTAATGCATTGAAAGGATTCATTCAAAACAGTGCACAGGAATAACATAATGTCAATTGCATTCAGACTGTGGCAGGTATTGGAATGTGCTGTATAAATACATCGTATTATTATTGCTAGATAGCACAATCAATTAAAAAGAAGACAAAAATCTCAGAGTTTGTTCTTCCATGTTACTAATGCATCAACAGCAAAACCCAGAAATCAAAGTCAACCTGGAAATATTCTCCTGTGACTAAATGCAACAAATGTGTGACTTAGTAAAAGCTGGGCCAACTAGGACCTCTCTGTCACCCACCTCAATGCTATGTATCAATTCCAAGTAACGGATATCACGGACCCTGATGAAAGCTTTCTTAGCAGTGTCAAAATCTAAGCCTTCCATTGCCTCATGCGCCAAGGCTGTCCAATCTTTGTTAGTCACTCCAAGACAGGCTACACGGTAAGCATCCCTGGCATACAGAAGTCAAAATCAAATGAACTGAGGCATGAGGCACTACAAGGATGTTCAGTAGTTCTTACTTCAATGTACTTGGGCATTTATTCAATCTTGACTTTGTCTCAATAGTCAGCTTTCTTTAATCTTCAGGTCAATGACTTCAGAATATGCAGCTTAATGAAGTCAAAGTTTTGCCACATCAAACTGAAGCTAAAGATGACAGTCTTTTTGCTCAGTCCAAACGTTAAATGCCTAAAAGTTCTTTAAGAGCAAAACACAAAACCAAAAATGTTCATGAAGTTCAGCTTGGAAAAAGGCCCTTGGTTTCCTGTAATCTGTAACACAAATCTTCAGACTGACTGACATCTGACAGTACAGATGATGATAACTTGTGATAAATTATACCTTAATCTTGTGAGCCACATAGCAGAAAATGAAAGAGAGGCAATGAACCCAAAATAGTCTGGCACCATCCCATTTAATAGATTACACAGAATAAGACTCTGGGAACATGACCAAAATGGCTTCCCAATGATTGAGGGTCTATTAAGTTTGGATGACACAGTCAAATGTAGTGATCTGCTTCAGATGGCCCTTGCGCGACTTTCAATCAGTTACTAGTCTGCTGCTTGTTACTGCAGCATATATGGCATCATGGAAGCTGACATCACACATTGATATCAACTCCTATAAGCAACATCATCATCAGCAGCCAATACACACTCTGGACGGTAGTCCAGTTTCAAAAAGATCAAATTCCTTGGTATCCGAACAAAATGACCAGCACAGGTTCTTAGATAAGGCACTATACAAGGCTTGACTCCATCTAAATCCTTTTCATAAGTCAGCTACAATGCTGTGTTTTGAAGTTTTCAATGATGATTTCCACTGGATGACAGGACAGACAGTGGCCAGTAATCAAAAATTAATCAGGGCGAATTTTGTAGTCTTACTTGAACTGTTTCCTCTCCAAGTACTGATACATCGGAGCTGACTGAGGTACCTCCACCGTGGTCATAGCATACACATGCAGACAGAAGATCTTAGACCCTGCAAAGCCCACCACAAACCCTTGAAGCTTCTGCTGATGGACAGGGAAGTTGCTAGCCTTGATGTTGAGCATACCATTGCCTGAGAAACACAACATGTCCTCATACTGGGTATTCCAGGCTACGCTGTTGGCATTGGGTTCCTGGGGGAAGAAATGTGTTTACAGTGTTAGGATAAAGAGAGACCTTGAGTGGGTCAAAGACAGGTGGATTCCCGAGCAACAGGTACAGTGCAAACACGGGACTGGACAGGTTGGTTGGTAGAGCGCCAGTTTCATGGTCCAGAGGTCATTGGTTCAAACCCAGCTAAGGTAAACTTAACATCCAAACGTTCAACCTACCACTGAAGTCTGAAAGGCATACAGTTGCACATCCCATAGCTGGGATAGTTTTTCTGTTCCTATTGGTCGAAATGCATCACGTGACCGTGTATTAACATTTGATAATGCCCACTGCGTAAATCATGTGCTAGCATATGGATAGGAGACAGTTTAACTGGGTCTAATTGGTCAGAGGTCTGTGTGCACGCAACGCACCACACGCGCACGCTAAGTTCATTGAAGGGAATTCTATTGGACAACTTTCAAAAGGAATATACCATAAAATGGACAGGGGTGTTTGGGAAAAGGAAAGTAAAGTGTTCGAACAAAATCGTTGGAAATCCATCACACGTTGACTTCTTTTGACTCTCTGAATGAAAGGTATTTATGAATGGGAATAAATATGTGCTTGGCCAGTCTTAAACTAATGTTCAAGACATTGCTTAGGAGAACAAAGGCTGCTAATACCCTCACCTGCAGCTCAGCCATTACTCGCATCAATTCTCCTGAGCCAGTCTTAAATGCACGTTTAAGACCAGACAAGCGCATACTTATTGCTTTATTAAAACACTAATTATATTAATTAATGGGGAGAACCAATACTGCTCTTATCAAGAGAATTTTACCCCAAATCTCAATGCACCAATGTCATTTATATCCCTGCTCATCTGACCAATAAACAGTCCTGGAATCGTCTCAACTTACTGGGGACTACCAGGCTAGAATGCAGCCATTAACACAGACACGAACACCCAATCAAACATAACAACCATCTCTGCCCTAAAAGGTAACAAATTATGCTCCTGAATGGAAAGATGTGAGTGAGGGAAATCTAAGTTACCCAAGGATATCACATGTAACTAGGAACTGGATTTGAACCCCCAACTCACTGATTAGGAGTCATAAATTCCACCACTTGGCAACACACCCCTTGACAGAACCCACTCCAATAGAATTCATTTTTGTCGGAGTCCTCAAAGACATCTTAACACTTCAGCAGGTGCATTAGACCTACCTGGAACAACAGTTCCTTTGTGTTAACATCATACACCAGACATGTATTATGTTCGTCTACAACAGCCAGCTTGATACGAGAGCAGCTGATGTCAAGACAACGTACAGAGGTCTGTTGCTTCAAGATGACGATAGGAAATGGGTTGTCTGCAAACAACTTGAGAATCTGGAGAAAGATAAAAGGGTTCACAAATAAAAACATACACAGATTGAAAAGCGCTTGAAATGCTTAAGATTGGGATAAAAATGGGTTGTATGTACTTAGTGTTAATATGGGTTTTTGTGGGAAAAGTCTACAAGTCCTGACTTATTTAATTGACTGCTTCCTTCAAATCAAATTGTATCATTATCAACGCCTAAAGTGCCCCTTTCTTTCTGCTAATCAGTTGATACCATCTCAGTGTATCTGATCCACCAACCTGTCCATTCTTGAGGCCTACTAAGAGTCCCTCTCTTCCTGAAGGCCCACCAATCACCTTGATGTATCGAATCAAGGCCTCCATTACCCATTCTCGTTCCTTGACACCTTTGAAGCTCAGACTTATCAAACGTTTCTCCTGAAAGAAGTCACAAAAGGGTATGGCAAAGACCAAGGTAGACGTCATCTGGCATACTTCCAAGTAAAAGATGTCAAGAGTCCTCTTACCCTGTTGCTACAACCAAACTAAATTCAGTTTTCTACATGTTGAATTACACATGGAATATATGAATTTATTCAAATACAGACTAATATATCCATGTAAGTATTCTCTTCCCGTCAAGGCAACTACCTTGATTTGAACTGTTTGTCAGCTGTCTAAAGTAGGAGCATCAGTTGTAAAGAACTCACATACCTGACACAGGATTAGGTTTTGAGAGCAGACCACTAGCAAGTTACAATCAAATTTCTTATTCACTTTCTCCTTCACTCTGTAATGCATGTCGGAAGCATCGTCAGAATACAGTTCATACACCACAATCTTGTCTGACAGCTGGACCTACAAAAACGAAGAGGGAAAAAAAACAGAAAATGTGTTCAAAGCCACAAGTTCAAGATAAAACACAACAACAGCTTCCAAACTGTACCCCATATCCTAACTGGGCAATCTGGATTAGCATGCCCTTAGAGCTAGTTCAATATCCACATCAACTGGCTATAACCACGAGCCAATGGCTTCCATAGGCATCTGTGTTATTGCTAGCCATAGCCATAACTTTCAAACATAACCTTACTATTGCCGAGGCACTTGAATAGTATTCCTTCCTTGTATCTACACTCAAATGAGTTCTTACATGACAATAATACATATTTGTGCCCATTCAGCTGAAAATAACCAGCATGCACCTGTCACAAGTACCTGTGCTTTATCTTTATTTTGTTTAACTAGTGCAGCCCCATCAATTACAGATGAACTGTTCTGCCTGGGGTCCAGTAGATAATGAAGACAAAGTTTCGTTTTAGAGGTCAAAAGTCCCCAGAAACCTAAGGATTCAGACAGGACTGAAAACCAAATCTAAGTGTATTGAGCGGGGTGGGATTCAAACCAAGGTCACAGAGATGGAAGGTGAGGAACGCCCCACTTAGTCCATCCAACTCTCCCACTGACAGTAATTAGTCACACAGTGTCATCTACAGCATTTCCACATGCTCCATACTCACAGCTAATCTATGCTTGTAGATGGCAATTTTCTTGACAATGTCTCGACATTTGATCCGGACCTTCTGGTCTGTGATGAGATGTTGAATGATAACGTCTGTCATGTTCTCCCGGTAGGCATATCGGTCACGGTACAAACCGTGTACCGTGCTAAATACAAGCTGGTAGAATGCTATAGTACCATCCTGGCAACCAACAGCCTAAACAACACAAGAAGACAAAAAGATGTCATCCCTCGTTCAAGAATTTACATTTCTAAGTTGGAATGATGAGATATATTGGTGTGGCTATTATCAAGTTTACAGGCGAAATTCAGAAACAGCTCAATTTATATCTTACTCATTTCTCATTATCCAAGCAAAGACAAAAACCAATCAGGAGTTATGAATACTTACGGGGGGGGGGCAAAAACTGAATACACACACCCTTTCAACTCCCCTGGTTTTGTATGCTCCCTTTTTGTCTTGGAATCTTCCACATCTCCCAATAGATTTTGACAGATCAGGGAAGGTACCAATACAAATCCTTTGGGGCATTAGATAACTTACCACATAATTCTGGTCTGGTCTGACCTCACAGCACCAGACCCAGGAGCTCTGTTCTCCTATCACCCCTAGCTGTACTCCATCCTTGGTATAGAGAGCGGCCTGCTTGTTGGCACCACCAATCACCATGTATTCCCCACGGGGGAAGTAGCTGAGACAGCATGGATCAAAGCCAAGGTTCTTCTCTTTACCAGTCTGAAAACTCAACAAATGAGAACTCCAACTGAAAAGACTATCAACTCCTGGCAATGAGAACTCCAACTGAAAAGACTATCAACTCCTGGCACTTGGTCACCATGCCTCTCACATGGCAAGGAACCATTAAAACCATGCAGTGCAATCCATGAGCCGTATTAAACACCTGAAACAGCATGAATGGGAGTCCAAGTCTGTAAACATACACCAATGTATTTGAATGAGCCATTGATCCAAAGCTTTAGAATACTGGTGGTTTAACGAACTGCCTACAACATTCTCTTAAAATGCCCCAGGTATGTCTTCCAACCTATCAGTATTTCTGTAGTTAATTTCGAATTCACTCAATTCTCCAAGTTTTTTGATCAATTCTCTTGTTGATGTTTCTTTTAAACAGCATCACTCTCCATCACTACTGCTGAAGTTGGCTTGTTTCACTCTAAGATGGCCAATATGACCGCTACAAAAATAGATTAGGATTACCTGTTTTCCACTGAGATGGTAAAATGACATCTTCTGTCCCCAGTCCACCACAGCCAATATGTCTTGGGTTTCCTCTCTGTAAGTGCAGCATCAATATGACACTTGTAATCCTATATCCAAAGGCCTTTTTATTGTAAATTTTTGAGAATCAACACAATTGTCAGCACTATACAGTCATCCAATCTGTTAGAGATACTGCTACAACTGGCCTTGGACATTAAGTCCCGTTTACGACAACATTGACTGGACCATACAACCCTGAAGCAATCAGAATATTCCAAACCAGTTGATGGCTTTGGTAGGATCACCAGTAGTTCTACGTTTGACTGTGTTGATAAAACAACTCCGTTGTAATGAGAACACTGAGTCACACTGGCCATTACAATCTCTTTGTGCTTCATTGCCGTTAACAAAACCAATGTGCACAGCACACAGTGTGTTAAGTGTTAATACAAAACATGTCAGTTGTCTGAGGGATTAAAGAAAACAGTGTGTTATTTGTCCAAGACAATTTTACAAAGTTTAGATAGCTTATCATGCTCTTGAACCTGGTAGAGATAAATCAAATTCCAGAAAGATGAACAAATTTTCAATGACTTGCAAAAAATCCTTGAAAATTAATTCAAAATATGCTCAAACATACACATCAGAAAACTGAACTTTTATACGATAAATAATAAGAAAGAGTTATGTAAAATAATGAAAAAAAGACCACCTTCAATTTAACAACTTATGCGTGATACATTATCACAACTGAACAAAATTCTGCATATATGCAAAAACAAATATGGAATGGAATGTCAAACTCATTGTAGAATATCTGTGTGTCAGTAAATAAACAAACAAATCAGAAAATTACCATAGGATACAATGCGCCAGTAACTACTTTGAACTGTGTATGTTCAGATTAATACTAACACCAAAATTTATATCAAATGCCAAGAAAACAACTAGCGTCACACTAACAACTCTGGCAATTAAACAAATAACAAAAAGTTGGCTAAATCCAAAGAACTTCAAAGACTCAACTAAAAGAACAAATTTGAAGCATAAAGCACTAACCTACGTCGACTATATAAATAATTAGACTTTTTGATAGATTCATTACTGCTGGATGAAAGGCACGATTCTTCTGATTTGTTCCAAATAGACTTGGGTCTGTGACAAAAATTGGCATTTAGGAATCGAATCAAGAAAAGATGTCATTTGGTCCCTGCAATACGTTAGCACAGGTATATGGAAAAGATGTCTCAACACACTAGGCAGGCGTTAAGCCAATGGACACAAAATCACATCATTAGCAAGTTTCAAAGTATCATGTACATGTAAATTATGTGAAGTTGTTTATTTTTATTAAGCTGTAGGGGGCATTAAGCCTTATGAGCCAATAACAACTTTTCAAACTTTAAAAATCTTTCAAGCCTCTTGGTAGATTTTGTAAAATTTGGGAAGGCAGGTACATTTTCCTCCCTTGCCCTCAATTTTGAAAAGCCTAAAAGCATCTAGTGCTATAGATTGGATCTTCTCTTAGCGTAGTGCCAGGTAACGTGATATGTCATCAAGTCTGTGAATGTTCAATCAATGTGCAATGGTGAAGTACAAAGCTGAAAACAATACTTCAGCTGGAGTTTCTGTGGGTAATTGTGTGCGTGTGCCTTGAAAGTTAGTATAACACTCCAAGGTCTTGTTTCATTCTGTGCAATGGAAACTACGCAAGAGCAGCAGATGTACTCTGTCAATTTATCTTACAGACAAGGGAAAAACACATCAGGGTTTTTCAAATCTCATCTTCAACTCTCTTGGTGTCTCAGCTTCTGTTTGAATTATTTTATGATTTTTAGCCTATTTCGTTCTTTCAAGCTTTGAGAAGTTGAGAGCCTCATACTCAATGGAGTCCATTCCATGTCACAGGAGAATCCAGTTCTTTGATGGGAGGCCAAAGTTTGGAGCAGTTTTATTTAATTCCACAGTAAACATTTTAAACTGGTTGTGGACTTTAAACATAAAGTCTACAAAAGATGATGAAGCTGAGATTGGGAAATATCCATATCACGCGTGCACCTGTTCACATGTGTGAATAGCCCAAAGTGCATGCAACCCATCTTCAACTAAATCTCTACAAACAAGTATGTTATGATGCAACCAAACAGTGCCATCTATAGTTCATGCACACAGCCAATAAAGCCTCTAAAATCTGTAACTTCACTATTTTTCACATTTTTAAAAACTGCTCATAAAGCCTCAAAAAACTGTTTCACTACATTTTACATTTTTTAAAACCACTCAAAAACAGTGACACCTCACTGTCTAAAAGAGACAAAAGGTTTTGAAAACAAAATCTACTGTATTTTAACAAGGCCCACCTACTGACTTCACTCGTGCTTGAAACAAAGGAAGCAACAAAGAAAAGAAAATAGGTGTCATTCAATATCAACGGATATCAAAAGTACCACCCAATAAATCTATGTACATGTATTACATACTAAGCTAGAATTTATCACAGTGCTCAGTCAAAACCTAATGC